GGAGAACTGGAGCATGTGCTGGAGGGACAGAGCTGACACTGCCTGGTTACACAACATGGGGACACTTGAGGGGAGGCATTTGAAAACCTAAAGAGACGCTGTCTCACCTCTCAGCGTTTCCTCTGACAACCCACTCACCCTTCCCGTGACCCGAATTTGTGCTGCTGCAGCATTCCTGAGGCAGCTCGGGACCTCAGTTGTTCCTCAGTTCTAGAAACGTCACTGCCTGTGTTTTCAGACGCCTCGAAACTTCCCTTTTTACAGTGCCACCGAAACAGCCTTCTGTCCTTTTCTTACTGCTCAGCAGTTTGGGAATGTTCCATTACACAGAAAAGTCATCTGTGGGCTCGGGCCCTGGGATTTGGGCACTCCTGGGCTATGGAATAACAGGCTCAGAGTACGACAGTGAAGTTAGTACCTGTGAGGCAGGGAAGAGCGGTCGTTCGAACGCTGCCTCTGCCAGGTCCTCGGGGCATGGTTTGGGATGAATCACCCCGTTCCATGTGCCCTTTCCCCGTGCCAAGGGCAAGCATGAGATCGCTGCGCTCAAAATAGGAAGAAGCTGCTCCGCCCTCGTGATTCCCGGCAGGTGAGCTGCACCTTCCCATGTCAGGGACAGCATTCCCCCAGGAAGGGAGATGATGCCACGGGGCAGGAGGAGGCACATTATTAATTATCTGATGGTGCAAGCGACAGTGAGGAAGCATCCCCTGGTACAAAACATTCCCTAAGATCTTCCCGCTTCGTTTAAAGGGAAAATACAAACCAGAGGTGCCAATTTAGCTCCGGAGAGGAGAAGGGAGGCTCCAAACGGGAACAGACCAGGTGCTCGGTACCGGGTAGAGCGGTGAGGGTGCCAGGGAGGAGGGAGCGGGGTAAGGAGGATTGTGAACATATTTACAGCCATCTGGCACCCTGAATTATCCAAACAACGAGGCTGCCGGAGAGCTCACTGAGACAGGGAGAGAGAGGGAAGGAAGGGTTGGTTTGGGCAGAGGATCCTGAGGGATTCGTGCTTTCAATGTATGTTTTTTGGAAATGTTTTATATCACTTATAAGATTATTTATGTTGCTGGAGATGTAGGGAAATGAGACCAGAAGGAAACGGAAGGACCACTCCTTCTGGAGTCTCCCTTCCAGGTTTCTAGAAATCAAGTCATGGGAAAGGAATGATACATTGGGAAATCTTGGTTTCTTGGAAGGCAGCATCGGAGATAAGGAATGAATCAGAGAAGCTGGATTCCTCCCGATCTCTGCCACTGACAGGGTGTTGGTGTTATCTGAAGTCTTGCAGTTTTTAGTGGGGAACGTGCAAGTCATTTAGGAAAAAATCCCAGGTTCTAGAACTCCACAGTAACCGTGTCAACACGAGGTCACGGTGCTTACTCAGAAAGGAAGAAGGAAAGAACTGATGTTTTTAAGCACCAGTGTTGGGCTTTTATTAAGATGGGGCAGTCACAGCTTCTCTGGGCAACCTGTGCCAGTGCCTCCCTACCCTCACAGGGAAGAACTCCTTCCCAAAATCCCATCTAAACCTTCTCTCTCTCAGTTTAAAGCCATTAATGACTCAGCCCGTCAGTTGGGAGTCCTTTAAATAATGATGTCCACGTCTCCTCTGGGTCACTCCAGTCAATGCCAGACCTTTGCTCACTGCCCAGTATAAGCCTGTGAGCCACGGATTCCTCCAGCTCTGAATGGTTCCCTCTGTCCCCCCATCCTGCATGTATGGGCTCTTTATTCCAGCCACAGGCCCAATTCCATCAGCCCCAGGGCAGGGCTTTGGAAGGAGGGATCACCATTCCAGTGCAGAACTCCCAAGCCAACGGTGTCAGGGGGTGGGCTGAGCTCTGCACTTCGAACTGTGGCTCATCTGGCCTCTCCCAAACATCCCCGAAAGTTAAAAAAAATATATATTTAAAACCCCTGCCTTCCCCCTGAGCAGGGGCCAGTTGTGTCAAAACAGAGCAAGAAGTTGTTAAACACGTTACAGACTGAGGAAGTGGAAGTGTCACTGTAGTTTTCAGTCCCTTGGGACATTTTATAGAGTCAAACCAAACAACAGTGTCTGAGAGCACTGGAGATTTGCCACTCCTGGGCCAGGCTCAGGAAACACTTCCAAAAGGTCCAACTACAGCTGCACCTTTTGCCTTTTCCTTACCAGGTGTCACTTCAAACAGCTGCAGCAACGAAGCAGCCCCTCCAGCCTCACAGGGAAGGGAGTGTGGGGATGCTCTGAGCCTGACAAGGAACTCCCCAGCAGCTCAAACTGGATTTAGGGAAAAGAAATCCAAGGCACTGTACTGCATATCTCACCAAAGAATTCCCTCTTAATGAGATAGGAACACACACAAATCTCTACACATGCATATTCCAGGGATATATTTGCACACGGGTACATCTGACATACAAAACCCCTGAGTTTTTCCCTTTTCTCTCTTTTTTAGGGAAGTGGGTCTGTTCTTGCCGAGCTTTAATTTGAAAACCCGGCTGGAACTTGTTAAGTCAATAATTATTCTTGTGAATGTGGGTCAAACTATTTTCTGTCTCTTCCCCTCTCTCGGGACGTGGAAGAGGATTGGATCCTCCAGCGCTCCGAGGCTGGAAGCACCACGCTTCCCATTTTACTTCCCAAGTCCAAACCTTCTCTTTTTAAGGCATCTGCCTTGGAGAAAAAAAAAAAAAAAACGCAACAATTTCTGCAGCCTCCTCCATCAGTAACTCCAAGAAATCCTTCTGCACAGCAGGAGCCATCGGCTGTGTTGGAGAACTGTGTTTATCCACCCCCTCCCCAGCCTGAGAACCCTCTGCCGTGAGTCACTGCTGTTCCTGCTCCACTCAGGGGGTTGGAGGCTTTTTCCAAGGCAGGAAACTGCTGGAGAAACTGGACTTTATCTGCCATAATTTTACTCCTGTTAACTGCTTTGTCAGGTGTAATTCCAGCCTGCAGGAAGAGCCCAGTGCTGTTGGAACAACATGAACCTGATTTTGCTCTACCGAGTTTTGCCTCCCTCCAGCAGCGTGAAAGTGTAAATTCTATTTAAAGCCACCAAAGGCCTCTTGATCGGCACCTCCTGCTTTCCAGAGGCCTCTCAGCACTGCAGAGACGCTGCAGCTGCTCCCTCTGTCCGGCCTGGCGAGCCCAAAACCTGCAGTGGGTGAAATTTAGGGCTGCTGTGTGTCACATGGGGCTGACCCAAAACGTGCTCCCCGGGCAGGAGCTGTGCCTGCTGGGTCAGCTCAGGCTGAGCTCGGCCCCCGTGGCTTCCTGGGGGGGTTATTGGGTTTTCATCCCCTTTTTCCACGTTGTTGGATGCAGTAATCCCCCTGGCATTTCATGGAGTCATAGAATCACGGAATGGGTCGGGCTGGGAGAGACCTTAAATCTCATCCAGTCCCACACCCTGCCCCGGGCAGGGACACCTTCCACTGTCCCAGGTTGCTCCAAGCCCCGTCCAACCTGCCCTTGGACACTTCCAGGGATCCAGGGGCAGCCACAGCTTCTCTGGGCAACCCGTGCCAGGGCCTCCCCACCCTCCCAGGGAAGGATTCCTTCCCAAGTAAAGAATTCCTTCCCAAGGTGTCTCGAAAGGCAGAGGAGGGAGGGAGGCAAGGAGGGAAGGAGGAGGGGGGGCGGTTTGACTAAAGCCTTTGAGGCGGGGAGGGAGAAAATAACCAAAAAAAGGCGCTTTGGCTGGGAGGGTGGGTGGGCTCCTGGGTGCCGCACGCAGCCGGGGTTCCTCGCTCCGCGGTCCTTATTTGGCTGGGAGCGGGAGCGTTCCGGGGATTGGCTGCGCCGGGGAAGCAGGCAGGGAGGTGCAGGCAGGGAGGTGCAGGCAGCGGAGCCGAGCGCCAGCTGACGAGCACAGCACACGCTCGCCCGCTCCCCGGCATGTGTCGAGCAAATTGCAGCTATTTTTATAGGAGACGCTTTGCCTACATCTTAAGAATCCCGTCCCAATCCCGTCTCCCTGAAGTGTAACGGGAAACCCCTCTCCCCAACCCCCCCGCGCCCTGTTCTGCACGTGTTTTCAAGGCGCGGTTGGGCAGAACCCAGACTTCTTGGCCATTATCAGACTCCAGACTTGCCTGCTCTGCCAGGGCGCTCTGTAGCCCTGTAACGATCCAGTGTTTTGTCTCCGGAGCCGACATAATTGCGGCGCTGGACAATGCCGGCCCTTTCTGGGAATGGCAGACGGCTACTCCGCTGCTGGCCCGGCCCGGCCCCTTTGTGCAGTGTTATTCCCGCATGGATAGACCCAGCAGCCGGGGGGCGATGCACAAAGCCACGTCTGTGCTGCCCTTGGCTTTGCGGCTCCCCGGGGCTCCCTGCCCCGTGCCAGCAGCTTTGGGAATGCCTCCGAGGGCAGGGGGCCGGGCAGGGAAGGCAGCGGGGAAACAGAGGGGTGAGGAGCGGGGCAAGAGCCCCAGAACTGCCCTTCTGGGGAGCTTCAGGGCCTCGTTGCTCCTGTAGAGAGCAGGGCAGGGCGGCTCAGCGTGCCAGGGATGGCAGCACCAGCTCCTGGTGACCTCTCAGCTCTTCTCCCTTTCCAGCATCACACGGAGCAGGTCCTGCCTCTTCCAGAGGCCTCAGCTCAGAGCAGTGCTGCAATGATCGTTCCAGAATTCGAGGAGAGTTGCTGGGGAGGGAGTCAGAAAAACAGCATCTTGCTGGTGCTGCCTGGGATGCAGGAGGTCACAGGAGTTTGGGGACAAGTGGCATCCCTTTGGAGCGGGCCAAGAGGGAGCTGGAGTCAGAGACAAGGCAAAAACTGCTGCAAGGGCCAGATCTGAAATCTGTCAAAAAACTTTTGGGAAACTCCTGCCAGCAGCAATAATCCCCCAGTAATTCTAATGGGAGAGTGGGAGAAGAACTAATTAAAACCGACCAGCAACCTCAGCAACATGAGCCTGAGAGCGAGGCTGAGCAGCCCCAGGAACGTCACCAACCTCCTTCCAGGGGGGTCAACCAGGAAAGAAAAGAGACAACACCGACCACGACCAGGAAATAACTCAGTGGGTTTAATATTTTCGTGGACTATTTGCAATGTAGGTACCGGAATTAGGTTTCCTTTTAAAAAAAACCCAGGAACAGTTGGATGTTGCCACATGGGTGAACCTGTGAGACATCACCACGTCCTGCTCACAGGTGTGAAAGCTGAGCCAGCCCTCGAGCCCAGCGCTCGGCGTCACCTGAGGGATCTGAGCTCAGCTCTGGGCTCAGCTTTCCTTCCAGCGGGGCTGATTCTGAGCCAGGGCAGCACAAGCACAGTACCTGCTGCTGTCTGACTGTGACACCTGAGAGAGCAGAGCCAAACCTACCAAACCTGCTGCTGTCTGACTGTGACACCTGAGAGAGCAGAGCCGAGCCCACCGAACCTGCTGCTGGCTTGTGGTGTCCGGCTGCTGCCCCCTCAACTCAAAGAAAAGGTTAAAAAATAGAAGAGAAATGAAATTTAAAATCCCAAAGCCCCCCCAACCCCCTGTGTGGGCTGTCAGATCCAAGGCTTTGATCCTCTGGTTGCACAGAAGGGAAGACACATCACTGCTACCTCCCATCGCTCGGGGCCAAGGGGGTCTGTGAGGCATCCATGGCCTGAAGGGATCAGGGTGGACATGGATTGCATCCCTGCTGCCCTTCCAGAGGTTCTGTGTGCACCCCAAAGTAACAGCTGCCAACCCCAAATTCTCCAAGGGACTGTGCCAGGACAGAGCTCCACGAGCTGCCCATGTAACGCTGGGGACCAGCCTGGACTTCCAGCATCTTCATGTCCTGGATAATGGAAACTCCCAGGCACTGGAGGGGATGGACACCTTTTATGACCTTTTTGTGTCATTTGTTTCTGAGATGAGCCTCCAGGTAAAGGAGCTGTGGTCTGGGACACAGCCCGGACACGGGAGCAGCAACGCCAGGGCTTGTCCAGGGAGAGAGCCTCCGCCCCAGGGGCTGCTCCAGGCAGGCACGGGCACTTCCTGGGAGCCAGTGCTCTCTCCTGCCCTCTGAGCACGGCACAACCCGGGGCCTGTGGTGCAAAGGGAGCTCTTACAAAGGAGGTATAAACTGTAACTGATTTATTGGAACACAGGGTTGATTCATCAGGGGATGCGCTGGAGGAAAGGAAGGGTCCAAGCTTTGAGAAGCAAATTTGGGTGAGAACAGGCACCTTTTCACTCTTTCGAACACTGTAAATAATAATAATTAAAAAAAAAAAAACAGACCAGACAGCCGCCATCCCCGGTCCCTCCCTCCCATCCCAAGGCTTGCCTTCACATCATGCTCTTCCTGAACTGCGACTGTGAGCTCTGTTTGGGCTTCGAGTCTGACTGCTGCAGCTCAAACTGTTTGTACAGGTCCCTCAGCTCTTTGATCTCCTGCAGCACCCTCTTGGCTTGGCTCCAGGTGGAGGAAGCCTCCCCCAGCAGCCTCTCAGATTCCTGCAGGATCCTTTCAGAGTCCGACTTGGAAGGTGATGAGGAAGAAGAGGTGGTGGTGGTGGTGCTGGTGGTGCTGGTGTTGGAGTCCTTGGTCTTTCTTTTGCCTTCCCCGTAGCCCTTCACCTCCGTCAGCAGTTCCTGAGTTTTTTCCAGTTTCAGTGCAACCAGTTCCTGTATCCGGGACAGCTGCTCCGGCTCTGCCGAGGCAAACTGAGCCTCCAGCCCCCTCCTCAGCACCGCCCGGTGCGCGGAAGAGTCCCGTCGGGACAGGATCTCTTCCATGGAGGCACATTTATTCTTTTCTGAGTACGAGAGCTTTTTGGGGACCTGCGGCGTGTACATGGTCCCTTTGTCGAAGGAGTCCTTGCGCTGCCCGGCCCTGTCCCACGAGGTCACCTCCCGCCGTGGGAGGCTCCCCGTCCGCCCTTTCTCCGGCGCCTTGGTGTTCTCCGAGTCGGAGCGGCGCCGCCCGGCAGTGAGGTGTGCCATGGACTTGTCCAGATCCACCCGGAAACTCTCCTCGCAGGTGCCGTGATCCTCCGGAGAGGCGTCTTCCTCCTGGATCAGGTCGAGGGTCAGCATGCCGTCGGAGGTTGAGGTAGATGCCTGGAGGAGCAGAAAGCAGAGTGGGTTGGCACTGGAACGGCTGCACCTGCTTCCGAGGGTCTCCACACCATGGATACACAGCACAGAGAAGGAGCAGGGATGCTCCCTGCTCCAGGGCCCAGGTGTGAGGCTCTGGCTGAGCTGCAGATCCACAGACCCAAATCACACAAGCCCTCCCTGCTCACCCAGGAGCAGCTCTCCAACTGTTCCCTGCTCTGGCTGAGCTGCAGATCCACGGACCCAAATCACACGAGCCCTCCCTGCTCGCCCAGGAGCAGCTCTCCGGCTGTTCCCTGCTCTGGCTGAGCTGCAGATCCACGGACCCAAATCACACGAGCCCTCCCTGCTCGCCCAGGAGCAGCTCTCCGGCTGTTCCCTGCTCTGGCTGAGCTGCAGATCCACGGACCCAAATCACACGAGCCCTCCCTGCTCACCCAGGAGCAGCTCTCCGGCTGTTCCCGGCAGGAACCCGAGGGAGCAGGTGTCAGTGATGGCAAACTGGGACTTTGCCGGAGGGTTTGCACGGTGCAATGGTCCACGAGAGCAGAGGAGCTCTGGTGACCCAGAGCTGCCCTGATGGCAACCCTCAGCTCAGGCTGGAGCTCCAGCACCGGCTCTCCTTGCCAGAGAGTGGAACACTCCCAAGGGAATTTCTCCTGGGGTTGGTTGTACCTACCACAGCCATCAGGTGTCCCCGCGTGGGAGGGCGCCGGGAGTGCTGGATCTTGGCCCTGTCGCGCGTCGGGTGGGCGAGGAAGCTGTCCTCTTCCACAGTGACCTGCAGGGTGACACAGGCAGGGTGACCCTTCCAGGCTGTCCTGCCAGCCCTGTGCAGGCCAGGCTGGGCCCCAGGGTGGGCCAGGCAGGGCGCAGAGCCTTGTGGGCTGTCCCTTGCCATGGCTTTGTGATCGGTGCTGGGGGGATCACGCTATCCCAGGCCTCCCGAGAGCCCACTCTGCGTGCCGGTGGCTGTGTGTGGGTGCATCCCAGGGGCTCTGCTCCCCTTTGTGCACCAGGAACAGAGGGGTCAGAGGGGCTGCTGCTCCCCAGCAGTCTCAAACCTTCCCCCAAGCTGAAGGTTGAGACAGGGCAGCCGGGCCCCGGCCCCGAGTCCCGCTCACCTCGTCCAAGATGCGGTTTTTGGCGCGTGTGATCGCAGAGTTGAGGGCGTTAATCCAGGACTCTTTCTCTTCCGGACTCACGGCCAGGAAGATCAGGTTTGGTGCCTACAAAAGAGGGAATTCAGGTCAGTGCCAGTGACTGAACTCACACAGAGAAGCTTTCACGCGGGCCCTGCCCAGAGGGAGCCCCTACAGAGAAGCCCCTCTACAGGGAAGGCAAAGGAGACCTGAGCCTCCAGCCCTGCAAATGGCACTGCTCCACCACACACAGCAAACCCCAGGACCATCCACATCCCTCCTTTCCCTACATCCCACCAGGACCACCTGCATCCCTGCCTACCCCCAGAGCCAATGGCTGCCCATGTCCAGGCAAGCCCCACGTACCGTGTTTCCAGGCTGCCTGGAGTGGGCGAGGGTAAATTTGCTGTGGTTCTTTTTGCTTCTACTTTTGGACTTCCTGAGCTCTTCACATTTCTCGTAGTCACTCAGGTCGAACATTTCCTGTATGGTTTTTTCATCTTTTACCTGCAAAACAGCAAGAAAATTAGAGCCTTGCAGGTGTCGGACGGAGAGGCTGCTGCTCCAGCCAGCAGGATTTCAACATGACTCTTTGGAAGGATGGCATGAAAATCACACTTTCCCAGGTTAATTCCTGCCTCAGAATTACTGGGCAGAGTAATTCTGCCCAGAGTTACTGGTACCAGGCCGAAAGGCTGTGCAGGTGTGATCAGACACAGTGTTCGTGCTTTGTGGACCCTCAAAACGAGCAGGATTTACTCCAGCAGTGAGGAGGGGGGTCCTGGGTGCCAGGAGGGTGTGGGGGCAGGAGGTGCTGGAGGAGGTGGACCCTCATCTCTGATTCAAAGGGACAATCATTCTCTGCAGACAGCGGAACGAGAGTCGGAGGGATAAGGATTAGCACTTCCTATTTTTACTCTGTGCTGGCAGCTGACTCTGGGGGTGGCTCCCAGAGTGCTGACACAACTCTGAGCCCCTGCCCTGGGGAGGGGGCTGTGGGCAGAACCCACCAGCCAGGGCAGGGGCTGGCAGGCTCTCACGAGACCTTCAGCAGCCAGGGGAAGGTTTTGAGAAGGAACAGAGCGCTGGGGCTCGGCCCTCACTGACAGAACCACTTCTTGGTGTCCTGTAGAGAGTCCTCGAGTGACCACTTCACAAGATCTCCTGCTTTCCAGGGCTGTTCCCCAACACTCTGCACTGCCATGGTGAGATGGGCACCCGGCAGTGGGGCGGTGTCCAGAGGCTCACATTAAAGATGGGACTTACACAGGGTTGCTGAGGCTGCAGCTGCACTGGGGAGGCAGGCAGGGGTCAGGAGGGCAGGCAGAGGTCTGGGGGGCAGGCAGGGGTTTGGGGGGCAGGCAGAGGTCTGGGGGGCAGGCAGGGGTCTGGGGGGCAGGCAGGGGTCTGGGTGCTGACCCCGAGCTGCCGGTGCCATCCCTCGGGCACACTTGGAGCCAAGGGGAGATGGCAAAGCCCTTCCTCTTAATCACCCTCCTAATGTACCATCCTCAATCCCATTCCTATGGCAGGGCAGCTCTGCTCTTCCATGGCAAACAGGAGGAATTAGGGGACTGGGGTGGGAGAGAGCTCGGGTTTGCATGTCCATTACAGAGAGCACTGCAGCAGGCCCAAATCCACATCCATCTGCTTAATCCGACTCCAGCCGGTCATTCCAGGCTGGATTGGTGACTGAGGGTGTGTAACTCAGGTGCCAGGAAGGCAGATGGTGGTGAGGTCTGAGCCCTCAGATTTCCTGAAAGGACTCCACCTCATTTCATACATTTCCTCCCCAGTTCTGGGAAGCACTGAAGGAATTTCCCATGATTTTTCCATAGAATTTTATCAAAGAGGGTGACTAAACCAGCTTCCTAACCAGGGGCAGGGAAAAACTGACCATCTGGCCCTGCCTAATGACTGCAGCTCCCCTCTGTCCTTCTCCTTCTGCTCCTGGGTGTGTCCCCAGGATCCAGGGGACACTGGCACTGCCATTCCTGATGCCCCGGAGCTGGTTCCTGCTCGTGACACAGCCCCTGTGCCTGGGGGTGAGAACAGATAATGTCTGGCTGTGCATCCTCCCCGTGCTGCTAATCGGCTTTGATCTCTTCCCACTGCCATCCTACAATCCACCTCTTTCCAAGAATCCCGGCTGAGTCCAGCCCGACTCATTTGTGGCAGGAAAGGCCAATCCCCTCCGAGCCCCCCAGCTGTGCCCCCCGTGGCTGAGACCGGAGCCCTCGCTCCAGATGTTCGCCCATGTAGGTCACTGGGGCTTCCCCGGCCCTCCCCTCCCTCCTCCCTCTCCCCGGAGCTGGGATTTAACATCCTGCCCCCAGGAACCCCCGAGGGAGGGAGGCTGCAGGACGGAGCAGGTGCCTTTGGCTCAGGCAAACACCCTGCAGCAGGTGCAGCTCGTCCTTTAAACCCCTCGGAATGACAAGTGCCAGGGCTCTGCCACCGCGCTTGGGCACGGGGAGGGGACCCTGCTCCCACCAGAGTGTGGGGGACCCGTTATAAAACCCTTAAAACTGGGAACTGGCAACACCCACAGTGGGATTCTTGGGGGAAGAGGGTCAGTGGCAGCGATTCTGGGGGGAAGGACAGCGGGAGTCTCCCTGGGGGGGCGTGGGCAGCTGATCCCCCTCCCACACTGAGGTAACAGAGCACCCGGTGTGCAGAGAGGGAAACTGGAGAGAAGGAAGGTGAAAAGCAACTCCAGAGGAACCACCAGCTCTTCTGTCCTTTGTGGGAGGCTCCCGAGGCCCAGAGGAGAGAGGTGGTGGCATGGGGGGCAGCTCAGGGGCAGGATTAAGGGGCACCAGCCCCAGCAGGCACTGCCCTGGCTGTCTGCTGGCTTAGCTGCCGTGTTCTACCTGCTCGAGGCAGACAAAACAGCTTTGCCCTGGGGTTCTGCCTGGCTCCTGCCTGTGGCCAGCTGAGGGAAGGGAAACTGAGGCACAGAGAAGGAACCTGAAGTGTCCCACAGCCCTACAGCAGGGGACATTAGACCCTGCAGCCATGAGACCACCCAGCCCCGCACCTCCTGGCAGCTGTGCCGGGGCCAGCACTGCTGACACTGCTGGGATCCGAGGAGAGGAGCTGCATTCCTCACACTCCTCACACTCCTTGCACTCCTCACACTCCTTCCCCTGCAGCTGCTGCCTGCCCGGGTTGGGCCCAGGGACCCCGGCCCTGGCATTCCCTGCCCCTGGGGGTCTGCGGGCACATGGTGGGTCAGAACACCAGCCATGGCACCCAAACCCCTGCTCTGGAAGGTCCCTGCTTCCAAAGGTCTGTAATTAGCTGTCCTTGGGTGTTGAGGGTCCCTGATGTGGGTTAATTAACTGCCCCTGGGTGTCTCACTGACGAGAGTTCAGATTTCCTCCCTCACCAAGCCTGCAGCGACTCCAAACCTCCTGGACTCGGGGCAAGGCTGTGTTTTGGGGCTAAACCAGGCACAGAGGGGAAGGGCAGGTGGTCAGTCACTCCAGCCTGGGATTTTTGGCAGAGATTTGCCTTAGCAGTTCCCTAATGGGACACGGACAAATGCGGAAGGTACAGAAAATCACAAGACACCCACTGTAACACACCCACGGGACACTCGGGAGGTCACGGCACAGCTCAGGGTGTAACCAGAAACCTCCAGACTCTCAGTGGAGCCAAATACCCAAACATGGGCAGTTTCAGGGCTGACGAGTTCCCTTCACAGGCTGCCACCAAAGTTTCACTTCCTCCAGCTGAGCAGCTCTGCCCCAGGAAGGGATGGAGCTTCTTGCAGGCCTGGCTGAAACCAGGCTGTCTCTGGGATGGGGATGCACACACGTGTGTGCAAGGATGGACATCTCTGCAGACCTGGCTGAGACCAGGCTGTCCCTGGGATGGGAATGCACACACGTGTGTGCAAGGATGGACATCTCTGCAGACCTGGCTGAGACCAGGCTGTCCCTGGGATGGGAATGCACACACGTGTGTGCAAGGATGGACATCTCTGCAGACCTGGCTGAGACCAGGCTGTCCCTGGGACAGGGATGCACACACGTGTGTGCAAGGATGGACATCTCTGCAGACCTGGCTGAGACCAGGCTGTTCCTGGGGATGCACACACGTGTGCAAGGGACAGAATTCCTCCCCAAAATCCCATCACACCGCGCATGGCAGTGCTCACCGAGGGCAAACACGCCCCATGGAGCGCCACAGAACCGAGTGTGCCAACACACCCCCACTGCCCCCCCTGCCAGCAGCACGAGCCGAGCTGGAACAGGGAGCGGCGAGGAGCGACAGCTCCTCGAGTGCTCTTGTGCTAATTGAGCCGATGCCTTTGGTAGCAAACAAGGGAAGGCTCTAGAGAAGCGTTTCCTCATCGCCCTCGTCACCCAGAGCCGTCTGGCAGCCCCCGGCTTCCTGCGAGGAAGCGCCGAGCCCGGCTGTGCGTCGGCCCGGCCGCCGCTCCCGGCGCGGGCAGGGGCAAAGCTGGGCCAGAAACGGTGAACAATTCCCAGAAATGTGCCGGGGGGGAGGGACCGGCGGGAGGAGAGGGAGGGGAAAGAACGTAAAAGTGGGCTTAGAAGGTGGTGTTGTGCTCAGCAGAGCTCAGCCCTCCGCAGATCATCTCCGCAGAGCTGGGTTTGGCCGGTGACCAAACGCTGAATAACGAAGGGGTTTGGTGTCAGTTCCCGGAGTTCGGCTGCCGCGGGGGAACGGAGTGAGCTCCTGGTTCAGGAGGTGTCAGACAAGTCCCACAGCTTCCAAAGGGCTGCACTCAAACGTCCTGTTGGCGTTTTCCATCAGCTGGGATGAAAAACTACAAAGGGCTGCACTCAAACGTCCTGTTGGCGTTTTCCATCAGCTGGGATGAAAAACTACATTTCCTCTCCTTACAGACTTGGCTCTGCCAGGGAGAAGCTCAGTTTCCCACTGGGCATTCCCAAATTCTCCTGACAAAACTAAATAAGTCAGGGCTGGTCTCTGACCTGCAAGCCCAGGTCCTAGGCAGACAACTGGAAAAACACACAGATTCCCCGGAGGAATAAGTGTGGGTACGGATGGGATTTTGTTGTTAGGCTGAATTTTGGAAACCTCCCCATCCCACACCTCAGCCCGTGCTCAGCTCCGAGCAGTTCCGCTCCACGCTCTCTTCGTGCAGCATCCCCACCTGCCCCGAGCTGACATCCTTCCTGAGGGATCCCATCATGGGACAGACAACTCCCCTCCCCGTGTGCCTTGGGGAGATGGGATTCACTGCCCTGCTTCCCAGATGGAGAAATGCAGGCAAAAGTAAATAAATGTCTGGTTTGAATTCGTTTAATGAGTGCGTGGCAGAGCCAGGGAGCTTCCAGGCGCCCTGGGATTTAACCCTGGCAGAGCTGAGGAGCATCCAGGAGTCCTGGAATTTAATCCCTTCTGCTCTGAGCTGGGGGGAGGGCTGGGAGTGTGGCTTCACCTTCGGAAGCAGCCAGTGCTCTGGAGCAGCCGCTGAGCGTGAGGGGAGCTGACAGGAAACACCGGGGCTGCTACGAGAACGAACTCCTGAGCTCCATCCACCAGATCCACGTCGCTCCAGTGGCTTTGATGGAGCAAAATCATAGTTTATAACACAGGAGGGCTTTGATCTGTGGCAGAAACAGGCAGCTGAGTCTCCTCGCTGCAGAATCGGGTGAGATTCAGACTGTCCTGGGACCGTTTCCACTCATTTTCCCATTTATTGTCCAGGGGGTGGGCAGGGGGGTACCTGGCTTTGCCAGGGAATAAGTGATGATTCTCCAGCCAGCACCAAACCCCTGTTCTGAGACCCTGGGAGCAGGAAGTCTTGGGAGCACCCTGGGCACACACAAGCCCCGGGAACCCCTCCACTGAGCCCCTCAGCATTCCAGCCCCCCGACACCGGCACGTTCCTCTGCACCGCGGGCACAGAGTCACCCCAGTGCACACCCGCAGCCAGGTGTCACCTCTGTGACCAGCAGAGAGTCACCCCAGTGCACATCAGCACCAGATGTCACCTCTGTGACCAGCAGAGAGTCACCCCAGTGCACATCAGCACCAGATGTCACCTCCGTAACCGCGTCTCTGCCCGACCACAGATTCTTCCATATAAAGACACGGCAGCCGCTGCTGCGCGTTATTTATGGTCCCTCACACACACGTGGAGCCCTGGAGCTGCCTCAGGCCCAGGCAGAAACACAAACACAAGAGCTTCTTGTTCAGAACAGGCCCCATATGGCCCCTCCAGCCTTGTCCCGCTCCTGGGCTCCCAGCACACCTGGATTCGAGCTGTAGCTACCTGGATGTACTCAGGAGGGACAGACAGACATCTTTTCCCTGCACCTCTTCCCTGTGTTGATTCCTGTTCAAACACCTTCTCTCTTGGCTTGTCCAGCCTATTCCCAATCCCATCCCAGCAGTCTGTGTTGGTCTGCATTACTGCTGGGAAATTTAGGAGAGCCACAAGCCACGGGGGATTTGTGCCACTGGCTCTGTGCCTCTCACATCCATCCAACTTTCCCAATCCATAAATGTGTCTATAGATCCATCACGGGGTTCGTGTCTCGCTACCACCAGCGCTGTCCACAGTCTCTAATCCTTCTCTCATCACCTCTGTTTACCTGAGCATTCCCAAGGCACCCACCCCCCCACCCTGCAGACAACATCCAGTCCCTGTTCCCGTGTCTCTCTCCGGCTCTGGAGCGGCCAGGAGGTCGATGGGAGCGAGCTCTGGAATTCCAGCACACAGCTCAGCACCACCTGGGCATTCAGTCCACTTTTTAGACCATCTCTGGGTTCTAGCAACCCTTCCATGTATCCCGTGCCCACGATGCAACCAGCCCTAAATCAAGCTGCCCCTTCCACTCTCCAGATCCTGAGCTGGGCCAGGCAGCCGTGCATCCAACCAGGGTCCAGCATGGAATGACCCCCACCGAGGGAAACCCAGAGAGACCAGGGTTTTACCCCGAATTCCCTGACCCGGAGCAGCCCCTGTGCCTGCTGTGGGCACCGGTGCAGTGCTGGGATGTCAGAGGGGACCCGAGGGAGGAGGGCTCTGGCCAGGGGAGTTCTCCCTGATGGATTTACTGAGACAAAAAGCGCAGGGGGGGGCTGTGCAAGGACAGCCGGGTGCCGGCTCAGCCTGACGGTCACATCCAATTACCTCCGATGTCAACGCCACGTTAAACCCCAAACCCCGGCGAGGAGACAGAGGAGGGGGAGAGGAGGGGGCACGTTGTACAACACGGTGTCAGATCCCGGGGGGAATTTCCCCGTTGTCCTCTTGGCACGGGGGAAAAATACCAGAGATCGACCCGTAAATGGCTCGATTCCAGTCGGCAGAGCAGAGTTATTTCCAAATGGACAGTGAGCAGCTGGGAACAAGGCACTGTCGGGCTCAATGAGGGAGGACAGGCACAGAAGGGAGCCGGCATTGCTGTAGCCGCGGCAGGAAGAGGGATGAGGGCTTAACTCTCGCTAAGTGAATCCTTTCGTGTCTCCACGCTGGGAAAATGTCTCCCAGCAGAGCCGTCTGGGAGAGGCGCTGTCGGAGCCGAGCCTGACCCGGTCGGGTCCTGCTGGCGCCAGCCCAGGGAGAAGAGAAGCCCCCGAAGAACCTCCTCGGCCCGGCTGGCGCTGGAGGGGCGCTGGGAAGGGCCGGGGCTGCTCCTTTTCATATGCAAAGGAAGGAAGGGGGGATGGGAAAGGAAACTGAAACCGATCCTACCTCCTTCTCCGAGATGTAAAGCTGATCTCCCTTCAGAACCACATAACGGTTTTTCCAGATTTCCCTAAAAATGCCTTTCCCGCAAAATTTCCGCACCCAGCCGACCTTCTCCGGCTGCGCAGGTTGCTGGTTTCCATCCTGGTGCCCCTAACACAAAGGGAGAGGGAAGAAAATGGGGGAAAACGGGATTATTCTTGGTTTTACACTCCTCTTCTCCCCCCCTCCTTCTTTGCCCAACTTTCGCCTCCCCCTCCCTCCGGCCCCTCTCTCCGCCGACGCCGGGACCCGAGTCCTTCCCCGGGGTCACTCCACGGGGATTTTTGTGCCGCAGACGCGAAGCGGCACCAGCAGCACCGGGAGGAGGCTGCGAGGACCGGGCAGGGTTCCCTCCGCGGTTATATAAGACAGGCCGGTGTCTCTATCGCCTCATCCAGCGGGCATTTACCCATGGAAAGGGGAACCGGGGGGGGGTTGGGCGGAATTTAAACCGGCTGGATATTTTTATTTTTTTTTTTTTTTTACTGCGGTGAAAATTGCATTTTTTCCGCTTTTCATGAGCAATTAATCCAAGAGGTGAAACCTACGGCCGGTTCACATGTGGGATTTCTCCGTAGGCAGCGATGGGATCGCTGGGTGCAGCACACACACACACACACACACACACACACACGGCACAGAGCGACGGATTGATGGTGCCGCTGGATTTTATGGTTTCCTTGTGTTCCAAGATGAAAACTGCCTGCCTACATCCCCCAGTGTCCGTGACGGGCGCGGGATGCCGGAGAGGCGCTGGGCAGGGGCAGGAGCTGGGCCGGCCGCGGGGTCCGGCTCTCTTTGGGCTCTGCTTGGGGGTCTGTGCGTTTTTCTGCGGGGGGAGCCCAAGCGAACACCTGGCACCGGAGAGACAAACCCCCCCTCCCCAAAACATCCGGGAGCCTCCCTCACCCCGCCGTGCCCCGGGAGAAGAACCGATTCCACTCACCCTTTTCGCAGAATTATTTTTTTTCATCGTTCCTTGGTGCGCTGGGAGGAGGTTTTATTTTTTTTTTTTTTTTTTGGGGGGGGGGGGGGGAGCGGGAGGCGGAGGAGGAGGAGGAGGAGAGGGGGGCTCCCGCGGCCTCCTCGCCGGAGGGGGGGGGGGAGACACCCCGGGGGCTCCTCCCGCGATCGCGCTGCCTTCGCCCCGCGTGGCTCAGGGCCCTCTCCCGTTACACGGCGCTCGGAGCCATCGGCAGCCCCGCCGCGTCCCCCCCCGCCGCCACCATCCCGCAGCTCGGGGGGCTGCGCTGGGCTGCGCCGGGCTCCCGAGCTCCATCTATAGCCGCGCGCCCGTGACGTCGGGGTTCACGGCACAGGGCGAATCGCAGCCCACGAGGGTTTTTTTTTTTTTGGTTTTTTTTTTTTTTCTCTTGTCTCTGACTGACCGGGGGGGAGAGTCCCGGGGGGGGCAGCGGGCGAGGGGCGGGCGGCACCTCGCCGGGTTGTTCCCAGCGTCACAGGTCACCGGGAAACTTCCTGGGAGAAGGGGGGGGAAAAAAAGCGGCCGGGTGGCACTGGGAGGGTTTTCTGCCCCAAAAGTGTTCGGAAGTGCAAACAAATCCCCCCCGGAGAGAGGAGCGGGGGGAGGTTCCTTGGGAAGGGGCTGAGGGAAGGGGTAACTTCCAGCACAGAGGGTCTGACAGCCAGGACTTGGTGGGATTCAGAGCGTGGCTTCCAAAAGTAAGGAGACACTTGGCTTCCTAAAAAATACCTCTTTTTTGGCTTGTTTTGTCTGCCTCCTGCATGTCCTACAAGTCTGGAACTGTCTGAGTGTGAGACTGAGGTCAGGGCTGAGACTCATGGATCAGAGATGGGTGAGAAAGAGGGAAAAGCAGAGAAAGGGGAAAATAGATTGACCTGTCTTTGCAATGACTCTGTCCATCCCATCCCAGCTTTACAGTCCATCCCATCACTGGACAACACCCCCCACCCCCAATTTCAAGGTGCAGTTTCACCCCAGCACTCTGGAATTCACATGTGCAGAGTCCTGGGCACGTACTTGGATTACTGAGTATTTCCAGAGCTTTTGTGAGTGTTGGTATCCCACTGGCATTCCCATGTGCTCCCTGTTTGTGTTCTGAGCTGTGGGATGCACTGGATTCCTGGGAATACCTGGGAACACCTGGGACAGGGACACAAGTCGCTGTCTACACCTAATCCAGGGGTTGCCTTTTCCTCCCGTGCCTGTGCAGCCCTGAGCTCCGTGGGTGCCAGCACTGGGATTTGCCATCTCTGTGCCTCAGTTTCCCCTTTTAGCCCACATGGGCAGAGCTGGGTCCAGGCAGGGCCGATGGCACAGCGACAGATGAGCTGCCCGGAGCCCCCGGCGCAGTTTGCCGGGACACCACGGGACCTGCCAGTTTATTTAATGACATTTTGCCTCCCGACCGGCCTCGTCCTTCCTCACGTCCTGTTTTCGGTGGCCAGGGCCTGCGGAGCGCCGGCGTGTGGCCAGTGCCAGATGGCACCGTGCTGGTGGCAGCGGGACAGCTCCGTCCTGCCCTTCGGATCCAGCGCCCACTCTCTTCCCAAACGCCCTCCAGTGCCAGGGAAGTCGCCCTGAAATCACGGGAGGTAACCAGCGCACACCTCCCTGCCCCTGGGAGCAGGGACTCAGCTCCAGCCGGGATCCTCAGGCTGTTCTGACAAGCGCGACAGTGAGTCACGTTTGTGAGGGATGTGATCGGTGATTCAGAGCTGGAAACATCAACAATTTACATGGAAGGAAGGAGATAGGAGGGAACCCGGCTCCCATTTCCGCGCTGGGAACAGGCGGTCGCGTTCCCAGCCTTGGGGCCGGCCCTGGACGCTGCTCCCGCTGGGGTCACTGGGCTGGGCTGGGGGTGCCCTCCCTGAGCCACAGTCACACCAGTGTGGCCCTCCCTGAGCCACAGTCACACCAGTGTGACAGGTGACGTGGTCTCTGCAGCTCCCCATCCCCATTCCTGTCCTTGTCCCTGTCCCTGTCACTGTCACCATGCCCATCTCTATACCTGTCCCTGTTCCCATCCCCATTCCCAGCCTTGTCCCTGTCCCCACTTCTCTCCCGTGGGCAGCACAAAAAGCCCCTCCAAGGTGTGTTTGTGTCTCTCCCACACTCACACAGCCCCTTTGCTCCCCCCTGGCCCCGGGGCTGCAGCTGCTCCCTGTGCTGATCCATATAAACAGTCGCCAAAATCTCACCTTCCTGCAGAGCAGATCAGCAAACTCTCGGTTTATTTACGTCTTTAACACCCCCCACACAGCATTTTGCCTCTGGATATCAAGTGTGAAGCTGCTGCCTGGAAGATGAGTCGAGTTTAATTAGGGCACGCGCTTTCCGAGCCTCTGACGACGATTACAGGGGTTTTGTCTGGGAAAGGGGCTGCTGGAGGAGGGATTTATCCCTCTGGAGTGGAGGGGACAGGCTCCTCTGAGGACTGAGCCCCCCTCTGTCGGGGTCCCAGGCTGGCAGAGATCTGAGTCACCTCGGGGGGGGCACATATAGGGCAGGGGGAGGTGGGAAAGAGGAGGCTCCTGCCAGAGGCACTCACAGGGCTGTGACCCCAAGTGGGTCGGGCTGCAGCGTGTCCTGATGGACCTTAAATCCTGCAGGGCAGAGCTGGAGCTGGAGCCCATGATCTGCAGGAGTGTTTGGACTGCACAGAGCTCAAGCCAAATGTGCCTGGAAATCAGGTTGGCTCGGGCTGGACATGCATGAGGGGGTGGGCACAGACTGGGGTGGGCACACAGAGTGGGGTGGGCACAGACTAGGGTGGGCACAGACTGGGGTGGGCACACAGACTGGGGTGGGCACAGACTGGGGTGGGCACAGACTGGGGTGGGCACACAGAGTGGGGTGGGCACAGACTGGGGTGGGCACACAAACAGGAGGCACCAGGAACTCGGGGTTGAGGGCCAGTTCAGAGCTGAAGTAACTGAGTAAACTCAGCACCTTGGGAGCCCCTGTTGAGAGCTCGAGTCCCATCTGAGATCAGGCACCTTTGTGCCAACCCAACTGCACCCATTAGTGTCCCAGTATGGATCTACCCAGTACAAACCAGCGCTAACCCAGTGCCCTGACTGGGTCATGGCTGTTCTTGGGGATTCCTTTCTCTGGGGCTTCACAATTCCCACCTCCTCCCCTGTGACCCCCAGCACGGCCGATCCAGGGACAACCACTCCAGGCAACAGGACCAGCTCCTGTGGCCTCTGCAGCTGATCTGGGTTATAATCAGGTTTGGACATTGGGTTTTTGTGGGGTTTTTCCTTAAATGAAATCCCATCATCCCTCCATGTTCCCACTGCCACATTTCCCCTTCCTGCCCAACTTCCCTCCCAGAGGTCCAGGAACATGGAATGGTTTGGGCTGGAGGGACCTCAAAGCCCCCCCCCAGCCCAGGCTTTGTTTCTCCCCAACAAGAGCTGCCCAGGACCCCTGGGGCCAGGTCCCCTCCCCCCTGAAGGGCTTTGCTCTCTCCCACATCAACGGGACTTAGTTGTGATGCCACGATAATTCCCAGAGATTTAGGAGCTCATTTCATTTGATCTGGCTTGTTAATTCCCAATCAAGTGCTGATTAGAGGCCACGGGGCAGAGCTGGAAACGCACTCACAGGTTCCTCAGTGAGTCCTTGGTGTGGTCCTTGAGGGGGGCAGAAGCTCCTGAGAAGGCTCAGGCTGTAACTGCATCTCATGGCATTGGGAAAGGGAAACTGGGAATTACTGAACAGACAGATTCAGCCAAAACAGGGGATTTAATAGGATTCAACATATACAGACAATGGAGCAGAGCAAAGGGCTCCTGTGCCCACCAGCTGCACCCCCAGAGCTGCTCCCCTGGCCCGGGGCAGGACCGTTGGATTCCTCAGGGACTCATCCCGTGCGTCCCAGTGAAGAGCCGGGAGCTGCAGGGATTCAAGAGCTTCCCCAGGCTCCCCTCAGGTGACATCCCCAGCTCTGGAGCTGTTTGTGAGGGGACAAGGAGGAGCTGCAGGGGGGACACGTCGTGGCCAGCTCCAGCTCCAGCTCCAGCTCCAGAGGGGGAAGCTCCGGCCACGGCGCAGGAACATCCAGGTCCGGATGGGCAAGAAGGGATTCACTCCTTCAGGATTCACCGTCGGCTGCTGGACCTCGGTGGGACCTGGGAGCTCTCGGTGCTCCGGCCTCGGAACCCCGAGGCTGTGACCTCCTCCAGGAAGCTGCCGGGAAAGGCTCAGGTCAGTGGGAAAAGGGCCAACTGCCCCCCCACCCTGGGCCTGGCCTCGGGCCTTTGGACCCCACCAGGACCTGCTCCTCAGCCCCAGAGCTGAGACACAGCCCCAGCAACACTGGGACGGGGGCACAGAGGCGTGGAATCAGGGAATTGTTTAGGTTGGAAAAGCCCTCTGAGCTCATAGAATTCAGCTGTCAACCCAACACTGCCAAGGCCACCACTGACTGTGTCCCCACGTGCCACATCCACGTGGTTTCGAGCAATTCCAGGGATGGGGGACTCCACCACTGCCCTGGTCAGCCCTTTCAGTGAAGGAATTTTCCCCAATATCCAAACTAAACCTCTCCTGGTGCAACTCGGGGCTGTTTCCTCTGGTCCTGTCACTTCTCCATACGCAGTGACAGTGGCAAAGGGGTGACCTGCCCATGACACTGTGATCCAACAACAGGTCACCCCTGCCTGACCCACTCCTGTGGCTGTCCTGGGACAGCTGGAGGCAGGAAACACTAATCCAAGGGTAAATTCCAAGCTCCCAAAGCCAGGAATGCTCCCAGCCAGGAAGATGCTGCTGGAGGATGGTTCCTCTGGCAGTGAGACACCACAGCCGTTCCCAGGCTGACTCATCCCCTCAATGTGCTGATCAGGTGATCTCAACAGTAATGCTTAAAAAAAAACCCACAAAAAGGATAAAGAAATACAAACTAGGATATGCCACGAATCCTACAGAAACGGGATTTCCCTAAACTGGGTCTGGAGCAGCTCTTCCTGCCCAGGTTGTGAATCCTGAGGGGTTTGAAAAATAATAAGACCCTCAAATCTCAAGCAAAGGCCCAGCTCTGAGCTCCATGGGACACAGCTGGAAGGGGCACAGACAGGACACTGTCCCCTGGCTCCACCTGGCTTTGTGTTCCAGCCCCAGCTCTCTCTCCTCCAGGTTATTTTTAGGCATTGGAGCCAGGCAGAACCGAGCTGTGGCAGGGAATGACTCGCTGGTGTTTTTGGGGAACCTCCCGGTTCTGTGCTGTCCAGAGCAGGTTGTGCACATGGTCAGGGTCCCCTCGGGGTCCCCTCAGGCCTCTCTGAGCACCTTCTGGGTCCGGAGTGTGCCGAGGCAAGAGCCAAAGTGCCACCTGCCCCAGGGGGATGAGCTGCACCACGGCACAAATCCCCCGTGCTGGGGCTGTTCCCAGAACCCCGTGGATCCTGCGGGGCCAGGTGAGGACCCAGCACAGGTACCTGCAGGTAACTCCATGGATGCTCCACCTGACCAGGGCCCAGAGATCAACCCCCCAGGAGGAACAAACCCACTCCCAGCTCCGCTCCCACCCCTCCGGAGCGAGGAGGGTCCCCACGAGGCTCCGGTGCCGCCGCGGCGCCGTAACTGGGTAACTGGGTCAGGCTCCACATCCCGGGATTAGTCCCAGCAGGTTTGGGCTCAACCTGCCCGGGATGAGTCAGCCCCAGCGCCAGATGTTCCTCCTGCTCCCAGGCATCCCTTTTTAGCCGATTATTGATCCTTTGTAACCCTTTCTCCTCCGAACCCGGCGGAACTGCTTTGGGATCGCCAGGAGCAGGGCTCGGATCGCCAGGAGCAGAGCGGATTCTCCCTCCCCTGGGCCACCCCCCGGGTGCCCACAGATGTTGGTCCCAGTTCCAGTGGGGCCGTAGGAACAATGGAGCCCGGGATTAGGCGCTTACATGGCTGCTCGGCGCATTAACACCCAAATCCCCTTGTTTCTGGTGACATATCCGCCCTAATCCCGCAGGAATCAGGAAGGCCATGGATTACAGGAGGGGTTGGGACACACTAAACTCTGGGTTCCCTCACATCAGACACCTCAGGGATGTGCTGAGATTTCCCTGATCCTCGGGCACTGTGCTGGAATTGTGGGGAACAGTGGACAGGACACATTTTTGTTGTCCTTCCATCCTTAGGGAAACCTTATCCCAGAGAAAATGAATCATTTGGAGCAGGGCTGTTTAAGAACAGGCCTCTGCCATCCTTCCCCAGAGCTCCCAGGCAGGGCCCAGCTGGATCCAGCCCTTCCATAGGACCAGCCTTTTAGTTTTTGGGTTTTTTTCCCTCCCCACTTCATTCTTTGAAATGCAAATTTGGATACAGAATCCCAGTTTTTCTGTAAATAATTCGGGGACTGTGCCGAGACGTGGTGGAGCCCAGACCAGCCCACAGGTGGCTCCTGGCAGCACAAATCCAAGTGGAGCCCATGATGGAGCTGCAGATCCTGAGCTTCAGCAGCAGCTCAGGGGTTTCCCACACTGAGCTGAAGGAAGGGCACGGGGAATCTGGAGGGAATTCCTGCTCCCCTGCCTGGCCAGCATTGAGCTGTGCCAATGGGAAACAATGCCCAGTGTGGCCTCAATTCTCCCCTGCACCCAAAGCGAGTAATTTGGGTTCAGGAAAAACTATTTGTATTTATAAACCAGACGCTTCCCACCAGGAATTCCATACCAGGAGGGACCTCTGCCCACCTCCAGCAAGGCAGCTGCACGTTCAGTCAGTGCTGAATTCTGCTCTGGCTTCCTGAACGTGTGGGGAATTACAGGCAGGAAAAACTCTAGGGAATAAACTCTGCTTCCCTGCCCTGGAACTCAGGGAAAGGCAGGTTAAAGCTCCAGGCAGGTGATCTGTCCCTGAGCCACCACGAGCAGATCTGGGCACGGAGCACCGACCCCCCATTTCCGTGTGCTATCACCCGGTGGGGATCCCTCCTGCATCCCGAATTCCTGCCGTGCCAGCAGCTTCGCAGGCAGGATCCCCGGCGGGATGGGTTTTACCTCCTGGTGTTGTGGATGGTGGTGCCGCCCAGGACGACGCGGACGCCGGGGTTGGAGCGGTTCAGGTTGTACACGGCCAGCGCCTCCTCGTACGTGGCCCCTCCGATGAGGAACACGACGATGTCCTGGGGCCTGGGACAAAGGCACAAATCATGGAATGCTTTGGGCCGGAGGGACCTTAAAGCTCGTCTTGTTCACCAGGTGGAAGCCCCATCCAACCCGGCCTTGGACGCTCCCTGGGATGGGGAACACTGAGGAACACCCAGCCAATACTGAGCCAGGATTAGACAAAACCAAGGATAAATCCTGCCCTGGAGGCAGCGATCCGTGATCCTCACGGTGCCTCTCCCAGACCCCGCGTCACCCCTGGGATCTGCTGGGCTCAGGGCCGACAACAACCATTAAATCCCACAAAACCTCATCTCCCCCGAACTTTCACCCCTGGCCCTGAGCAGCCTCCAGCAGCAGCACCCGGATCCCTGTGGATCCACCCCCCCCATGTTTAATGCATGATTCAGGCTCCGCTGCAGCTGGGAAATCACAATCGATTCCGGAGTCAGGCGAGGACACGGCGCTGCCTCGGAGCTCCCGGGCTCGGGGTGAAGGGCACAGAGCAGCTCGTTTGGGGCTGATCACGAACCGCCAGGATTTGTGCCTCAGTTCACCAGGGCAGCCAGTGTGTCCCAGTGCCAGGGGCCCCAGGTGTATCCCAGTGCTGTGGCAGCCGGTGTGTCCCAGTGCCAGGGGCCCCAGGTGTATCCCAGTGCAGGCTCTGCCCAACCAGCCCCATGTACCTGTCCCGGAGCGTGTTGGGGCCCAGGTAGGGATATTGGCTGTCCTTGAGCTTTCCTTTGATGAGCTGGTCCAGCGTTTCCTGGAGCAGGGGCTGGTGCTGTGTGTACACATTCTCAATGCCCTGTGGCGGGAGGGAAGCTCTTTAGGAACTGGGAGAGCAAGGAGGGAGGAGGAATCAGCGGGGGCACCGCATCACCTGACAACCCAGCAGGTGTCACCCCTGAATTTGGGATTTGAGGCTCTTCAGCAACCCGCTCCCACTGTCCTCAATGGAATCAGGCCCTGAAGCCACTGCCCTCATTGTGAAATCCCAGCCCCAAGCCAGCACGTTCCTGCCAGCCCCGCTCCTGCTCTGGCTGCAGTTTTGGCTAAAACTGTCCCTTTTCCCCCCGAGGCATCTCGGTACCTTCAGGCCTTTGAGGAACTGCTTAGTGATGGCCACGGCGTCCTTGGGGCCAAACAGGTCACTGCCCCGGACCCGCTTCCCTCCGTACTCCACCACGGCCGACACCAGCTGTGCGGGGAGAGGGCAGGAGCCGTCAGCCCAGAACTCCTCACTGGGCTCTGGGGCTCACGGGGCTCAGGGACACGGAGCCAGGGAGGTGATCCCAGTGGCACTGCACACAGAGGTGAGGGGGTGGAGCAGCAGCACCCCCACATCCCCCCGCCTGCCCCGACCCTCCTGCACGAGGAGAGGCCTCGTCTCCATCGCCCGCGGCAGCAGCTCCTCCACACGAGGTGACATCATCCTGCTCCTCCACCTCCTCCCCAGCTGCTCCTGGCGCTGCCGCCCGCTCCCTTCCCACCAGCTCCTCTCCATTCCCAGCCCTTCACTGCAGCCACTGCCTATGCAGGAGCTGGGGAAAGGGGGAAGAGCAGAAGGAGAGAGGATGCACATCCCAGGCCTGTGCACGTGCCACACTCCCCTCCCAGCAGACTCTTGCCATCCCCGCTTTATTCAATCCTTCATAACACCACAGACCAGTCCAGGGTGGAAGGGCCCTCTGGAGATCACCCCGTCCAACCCCCAATATCCCTGACGTGGGAAATGGCACCACTCATTTAAAAAGTCACACCCGCAGGTCCCTCCCTGAGCCGAGCTCGGGGCTCTGCACAACAACCTGCCCCGGGCTGACCCGGAGCGGGCAGGTTTCCCCCCAGAGAGCAGCGATTCCCCCCCCCCCCGTGCCCCCCGTGCCCCCTCCCCGGGGTTACCTTGCGGTACCTGTCGGTGCCGCCGCGGGCGCGCAGCTCGTCCAGCAGTGCCGGGAGGCCGTTGCTGGCGTGGCGCTCGTAGCGCAGCGCGTAGAGCATCACCAGCCGCGCCGCGTCCAGCTCCGACACCCGCGGGCTCTGCAGCACCCGCCGCACGCTCTGCGGGGACACGGGGACACCTCAGCGGGGGCCAGGCCGGGCTGCTCCGGAGCCCAGGGCCTGAGGGGCACGGAACCAGACCGGTATCACTGCCTGGGGGATGTGGAACCGGACTGGTGTCACTGGTATCACTGCCTGAGGGACATGGAACCAGACTGGTGTCACTGCCTGAGGGACATGGAACCAGACTGGTGTCACTGGTGTCACTGCCTGAGGGACATGGAACCGGACTGGTGTCACTGGTATCACTGCCTGAGGGACATGGGACCAGACTGGTCTCACTGCCTGAGGGGCACAGAACTGGACTGGTATCACTGGTATCACTGCCTGAGGGACATGGAATCAAACTGGTCTCACTGGTATCACTGCCTGAGGGACATGGAACCAGACTCGTATCACTGGTGTCACTGCCTGAGGGACATGGAACCACACTGGTGTCATTGGTATCAGTGCCTGAGGAACACTAATCAGACTGGTCTCACTGGTGTCACTGCCTTAGGGACACCAATCAGACTGGTGTCACCGGTATCACTGCCTGAGCGACATGGAACCACACTGGTCTCACTGGTGTCACTGCTTGAGGGACACTTATCAGACTGGTCTCACTGGTGTCACTGCCTTAGGGACACCAATCAGACTGGTGTCACTGGTGTCCCTGCAGGAGGGGGAGGTCAGCAGGCACTTCCAGACACCTCCAAGCTCTGCCCAGCCCTTTCTGGCTCGAGTGGAGCCACACGTGGCCCACAGGTTCGACCACTACACTGGCTCAAAAAAACCCCTCAGGTAACCCCTCCAATTCCATTTCCTGTTTGGAAGGTGCATGGCAGAAGCATCAAAGTCTCAGCAAGCCTTTGGATGTGAGATGTGGAGGAGCAAATTGCACATTTGGAAGCAAAGGAGGGAAGGAATTAAAGCATGGAAAGAGATCCCAGCTGGAGGGAAGAGCAGGGATCTCGGTTATCACTCCTGATCCGCTGCTGGATTCACCACCCTGGCTCAGCTGTTTGCTGGGATCTGTCTGACTAATGCTGACTAGTTACAAAAACAGAGGACAAAATCCTGGCCTGTAAGGAGGATCAACAGGAACTTCACCCTTCAAGTTCAGGAATTCACCTGTGAGGGGAGGGACGGAGCCCCAGGGAGGTTCCTGTGCTGGCAGTGCCAGGATCAGTGGGAAGTGAGGAGAACAGAACAGCCATTGTCCACGGGAGGAGCTGGGATTCCAACCCTCTGTTCAGCTCCCAGGGCTCCTGCACTGTGTCAGGGTTAATGAGAGCCCAGGGGAGGAATAACCCAAATGTCCTGGACTGGGGGGCCCGAGGCCACCAGAGACCGAGCAATCCTTGAAGTGACATCAGGGGAGAACAATTCCACCCTTATTCCAGGCTCTGGCTGGTTGCTCCTTGTCCCGTGGCCTTGCCCTTCTCGCTGCCATGGGGAGCCGCAGCAGGGACAGCCTGGGGCAGGGTGGCTGCAGGGACAAAGATCCCACTTCCATGGGTTTCCATTCATTTCCGAGCTGCTGCAAGTTTTCCAGCGGCCTCGGTTTGTTGGAAGTACAACAGGGCCCTTCAGGCACGGGGCTGGGGAAGGGAACTGAGGCAGCTTTTCTGCTCTAAAAAACTGCAGAAACACTGAGTTTGTGCAGACCAGGACGAAGGTGACCCCAGGAGTTCCAGGATTCACCTGCCAGGGCAGGGCTGACCCGCCGGTGTCTCCATCCAGCTCCCAGCACTGCCACATCCCCCCCAAACCCGGAGCTGGTGATGTGACGGCGCTGTCACATAATGGAGGAACGCCGGAGAGTGGGATGTAAGGACAGGATTTGCCAAGATGCTTCTCAAGCCAGTTATTAACGATGACTCATCCCCATCTGAGCGGAGCAGGGAGGAGCAATTCCACATCCAGTGTCCCACCCCGCAGGACACAGAACTCCCACCCCCAGGGGAGCGACGGGATCAAAGCCCCGGAGCCAGGGCTGGGATGGAGTACCTGGAGGGCGCTGGAATGGTCACTCTGGCAGGCCAGCTCCTGCTCCACCTCCGACACTTCCAGCAGGTTCCGCTCGGCGACGAGCCGGGACAGCTCCCCCACCACCGTCACGTGCTTGGACACCGTCCCCGACATCTTCTTGAACTGAGGGTAGTTCTCCACAAAGGCCTGTGAGGGGGGAAACCAAGACAGTGGGTGCTTCCAGGGAAAAGCAGGAGACAGAAGGTGGGTGCAGCCAGCCATAAACTGCATAAATTCACAGCAATCCAAGCCCTGTGTGTGGAGGATTGGGCACCTCGATCCCAGGAGCCCATAGGATTTCTCCCATTACCCGGAGACTTCTGGGAGGGATGTACTTTTTATTTACTCCTAAAATTAAAGGATACAGAAAGCACCTCCAAAGAGGCCTCCAGACTCCTTACCCTGAGCAGTGGCCAATGTAACAGCCCGTGCTCTGAGCTGTGCCCCAGGACCCAGCTGGGATGGGCTTTGTCCGTACCTTCATATCAGCGATGGATTCCAGCTTCTGCTGCTCCTTTGGCTTCCTCCTCTGGAAATCCTCCATCAGGTTCTTGATGTTGGTGCCAATCTCGGCGAAGTTCAGGTACATGTTCTGCACGGACAAGACGGGGAGCACAGGGAAAGAGTCCTTAGGAGCTGGGAGAAAGCGGCCCCTGTGCTCAAGGCACATCCCCCCAAACCCGCAGCTCTGCACTTGGCTTTGAAATAAAACCACAAATAGGACACCTGATCTCCTGTCAGGTGTCACTGGTGCAGCTCGGTGACGTTCACCACTGGCACATTGATGCTCAAAGTCATCGGGAAGTTCCTTTCCCAAAACACGAACGGGACGTGACCCCCAGACCCAGCTGCTCGTGGAGACCCTCCAGGACACCTACATTGGCGTAGAACTCGTCGTTCTCAGCTGACAGGACGACCTCCCGCAGGTCCTTGCTGATCCCCGGCACCCGGGACAGGTCGATGCGGTTGTTGTTGATCCCCAGCAGCTCGTGGACCATGGCCTGGTACGTCCACTGCCAGGGGACAGAGGAAGGCAGAGGGGTGACCTTGGGGAGGCACAGCACTGGAAAATCAATGGATTTCAGCTAAACCCAACCAACGCTGCTCCCGCTCCCCCGGGACACACGGACAGCCCAGGTGTGTGTCCCTCGAACCAGCCAGGAGGTTACAATGAGAAATAAACTCATTGTAAGTAACATAAATATCACTGGGGAATAACCAGAGGGGGAGAGAGCACAGAGGGATTTCACAGGGAACGGGGGTGGGAGGCAACACTTTTCTCTCCCACATCCAACCCGTGCCCGGCCAGGGGGAGAACTCCCATCCCTGCCCCAGCCTGGCACGCCTGGGTGTGGCTCACCTGGTTCAGGAGCGGGGTGATGGCGTCGTCGGAGCGGTCCAGGATCAGGAGCAGGGGAGGGACCTCGGTGCGGCGGAAGTCGAACAGCTCGTACTCCTTCGTGATCACTTGCTGTGGAGAAACGGGAAAAATCCCACTGGAACACCTGGAAAACGATCCCTCTCAGTGTGGATACGGGTACGGAGGGAAGGGCGGGTGAAAGCCCGGCCTGCACTGCCAGGGAGGAGCTGAGGGCCCAGGAATGCAGCTCTCCAGAGGCTGTTTTGGGAGCAGAGAGGGATGCGACCTGCCCGGCGCTGGGCCACGAAGGAAATGATGGAATTCCCAAGAATTGACTGGAAATGGGTTGAAAACCCAAACTAGCCAAAACTGAATATCCCCCAAAGGGAGGACGTGCCGTGGGCTCCCCTCACCTTCACGCACTCGGCCAAGCGCTTCGCCGGCTCCGAGGAGAGCTGGTACCGGATCATGGGGCACTTCTTCAGGGACAGCAGCAGAGCAGTGAGCCCCTGGGTTGTCCTGGCCAGCTGAGCCGGGTCCCAGCTGCGGCCCTGGAAGGAAAGGCTGTGCCTCATATGGATGCACCGGCCCCAAACTTCCTCACATCCTTGTTCCTAAGTCCTAAAGTCTCACAGGAAACCACGGCTGGGCTGGAGGAGCAGGTACCCCCAGGGCCAAGCCCGGGCTCCCTGGTGTTCCTCTCCTTGCCAAGGACCATTCCTTCCCTCTCATGGCCCCTCCAGCAGCCCCCCATCGCCCCAGTTTGTGGTGGCTACTGGTGTGTTACCCAATCCAAGGAGAACTCGCCGTGTTCCTACCCGGCAGCAGCCCAGGAGGTTGAGGGAGAAGACGTGTGGGTTCACCGCGATGTAGTCGCCGTAGAATTCCTGGTGGGGGAGCAGGACAGTGTCTGTCACCACCCAGAGCCCTGTTCCAGCACTGGCACCAACACCCAACCCCAATCACCGGCCTTTGTGTCCATCCTTCCTCCCACCCAGGCTGGTTGGGAACAAGAGCCCTGCTGGTCCCCCAGTGTCTGTGAGCCTGGACCTTCCCTTTGCTTTTGGATCTACCTAAACCATACAAACTTCACCTGGACTTCAGCCACGACCTCCTGCTCGTCGGCCTCGGCCAAGGCCTTCACGTCGCTCTTGCTGATGACGTTGCTGAAATCTGGGAGGAAACAGCGAAGGGATGGTTGGGATCCGGGCAGACCCCGTGGGACAGCACGGCTTGATCCCCTCCAGAGCGGGAGCAAATCCCCCAGAGACCCTCTGACCCTGCACCTGCAGGTGCTGGAATCCTGAGCCACCTGCCAGGGATGCTTGGAGCTCATCCCCTGCCCCTCTCCCCGGCGCCCGGCCCTGCCGCGTCCCGCGGAGCCGCGATGACATCTAGAGGCCACTTCACCCAATTCCCAGCATCCCACCGACTGATTCCAGGGCTGGAGGACTGGACTTCAACCCAAAACCAGCTGGAGTCGTTCTGCTTCATTCCCAAACCCACGGAACATGCCGTGGCATGAGCAGGACACGTGGGAAGCACCTGCCTGATACACCCAGCATGGGAAGGTGCTGTGTGATCCACACTGGGATGTGGAGCCTGTGCCACCCACACTGGGATGTGGAGCCTGTGCCACCCACACTGGGATGTGGAGCCTGTGCCATCCACGCTGGGATGTGGATCCTGTGCCACCCACGCTGGGATGTGGAGCCTGTCCCAGATTATGGACCCTCAGGACCCCCGGATGGTTTGTACTCACAGATGAAGTAGACGCTGTACTTGGGCCTCCGCAGCTCCTGCACCAGGAGCTCCACGTTCTCCTGGATGGAAACAGCAGCGAGGAGAGTGGAGTTAAGGAATATGGAATCGTGGAAGTGTTAAGGTTGGAAAAGCCTCTGAGATCCTGCAGTTTGGCAACCCCACAGCACTGCTAAAGCCACCACTGACCCGTGTCCCCAAGTGCCACGTCCACACATTTTTTAACACCTCCAGGGATGGAGGGGACTCCACCACTGCCCTGAGCAGCCTGTGCCGGGGCTAGACAGCCCTTTCCATTAAGGAATTTTCCCCAGTATCCGACCTAACCCCCCCCATCCCCCCAGCACAGTTTGAGGCCGTTTCCCCTTGTCCTGCTGTTCCCAGGGAGAAGAGCCCGACCCCCACCCTGGTGAGTGCGGGGACCCCCGGGCAGGGTGGGGGGCGGGCGGGGTCGGTACCTTGGTGGGCCGCAGGAAGCAAATGGCCTTGAGGTGCTTCATGGGCTCCCTGTTGGGCGAGTCGAGGCGCTCGAAGAGATAAACCTCGCGCTGCAGGATCTCGGACTGGGTGTACACCACGCTCACGGCGCCGGTCTGCGGGCGGCACGTTGGGGGACATCGCCCGTCACCGCGGCCCCGGGCCCGGCGCTCCCGGCCCCGCCGCCCCCCGCGCTCCGGGCCCGCCGCTCACCGTCTCCCGGTCCATCAGCAGCACCTTCATGCCGGGGCCGCTGTCCTCGATCATCTTGGACACGTACTGCCGGACCGCCAGCACCGCGTTCATCTTGGCGGGGCCGCCCGGCTGCCCCCGGCGCCGCTCCGCGACCCCCGGCCCCGCTTCGGCTCCCTTCGGCTCCGCCCGGGCCCTCTTCTGCTCTTCCCGTTCTCGCTTCGGCCCTACTTCGGCTCCGCCCGGCCTCGCTTCGGTTCCGTTCGTCTCCTCCCCGGCCCCGCTGCCTCCTGGGAGTTGTAGTCCGGCAGCGGGAGCGGCCCTCGCCCGCAGCCCCCACCGGCCCCGCCGTCCCTCGGGGCGGTCCCGCAGCCCCGGCCCGGCTCCTTCGCCCGTCCCAGGGCCCGAGTACACCCGGGCGATGGAAATAGTCCGGGAGAGTGAAGCAGTTTGAGACTGAACTCACCCAAACTCACCCCAGACCCACCTAAACCCACCCAAATCCACCCCACCTAAACCTACCCCAAAACAACCCAAACCCACTCAGTGCGACCCCAAATCCACCCCAAATGATCCCCAAACCCACCCAAACTCACTCCACCGCACCCCAAATGCCCCCAGACTCACCCCATCTCACCCCAAGCCCACCCCAAGCCCCCAGGAGTGCTCAGTGCACCCCAGGAGGGTCTCCTGGGGTTCCCAAGGACAAGGATGGGACTCAGGCTCACTGGACATGAGGCAAAGCTGCTCGGGGGGCCCGGGGGGTGGGCGAGGGGTGGGTAATGCCAGGGCTCCAGGACCAGCCTGGTCCCGTTAATCCCTGGAGCAGGGCAGTGGGATTAGTGCTATTCCCGGTGGGACAGAGCTGACCCGGGGCCGGACACTCCCCCACTGCCGGGGCCCTATTTATAGCGGGGGGATAATGATTAATTAATGATTACGTCCTGCCTTTCACTTCCAATTAAGCAGCTCCCCTTTTCCTCGACACCTTTGTCATCTTTAATCCTTCCATTTCCTGCCCAGATCCCGTTTTACTTTTCATTTCCAAACACTTTGGGTCTCCTGCCCTGGAGGCCGAGGAGTTCTGCACACGTAGGGATCTTTATACAACCCCCAAAGGTTTGGGTGGTTTAAATAAGGATTTAGCTAAAAAAAAGTTCAATTCCAGCATTTTATTTCTTATATTTTTTATTTTCACCTGACTTGGTTTCCTATATCCAAACTGACTTCCTATGGAATGTGTGGGTGCTCCCAGGCAAAGGATACAGACAATAATGGCAAATGGAATAAACCACTGGGATTATTTTTAAATTTAATTGCATCCAATTGTTTTCTGGCCTTGTTTGGATGTTAAATAATTCAGTGCCTGTAAAATGCTTGTTTAGTTACTGTCCAGTTTCCTTGGAAATGCTTTTGGATGAGGTCAGTGAGGGTTTTATTTGTGAACTAGCCAAACCCAGGGTGTCGTCTCCTTCTTAAATCCATCTTTGTCCTTGTCCTTAGGGAAGACAAACCCCTTCTTGTGCCATTTTGAGGAAGTGAATGGCAAACCAAAACTCTGAGGCTTCTTGGTGGGATGTTTATCCCTGGTTTGTAGGTAAAACATTTAAAACAACTTTTATTCTGAGGAAATTTTACACTTTTCCTTCCCCGTGGGCTGATTTGGGGCGGTGGAAGAGCAGTTTCATGTCCCGCGAGAGGTTGGAATCATGGAATTGTTTAAGCCAAAAAAGACCTGTTCATTTGCTATGATTTCTGATTTAAATCTTCCTTAAGAGTTGATTCAAATATTATTTGCATAAATCCAGCTGATTTAACCTCCCCTGTAACTGCCCTGGGCCCGTCACCGCCGGAGCAGCTCGAGGACAGACGTCGGTCCCTAAGTTGAGGCAATAGGATTGTCTGGGATTACAGCACTGCTATTTTAAGGGGATCGAATTCCATCACAATTAGTTAAAAAGCAGCTGATTCCCCACTCCCGATTCCAAGGAGAAATGGCCACAGCAGCCTGTGCTTCCCAGGACATCCCCCAGCACCACCTGAGTGGCTCGGGAACATCCCAGCCTTTCCCTGTTCTCCCACTCCGACACGACTCATGTCCCAGGCGTCTCCTGCCACCGTGTACAGGTCTCCTGGGAAAAAGTGCTCCATGAAAAGAGGCTCCTGGCAGTAAAATAAGGCCTGGATGGGTTTCCAGCTTTGGAGATGAGGAGTCACGAGGGGCTTCACCTCACCTCGTTATTGTTTTATAATCTAATTGTGCTAAACGGTGAGAGGGGGAGAAAAAAAAACCCCAAATAAACACGGGAAGGCCCGTTTGGATCCAGAACCTCATCCTTTTGGAAGTGGCATCCCCGGGCAGCAGGGCCACAGGGTGTGCTGGGGACAAACCCTGCAGCCTGTGGGGACAAACCCCTGCACATCCCGTCCCTTCTGTGCTGGACAATTCCTGCCCGGACACACAAACCAACCCTTTGTGTGGGACACAAACAAGGGCAGGCTCCTGGCAGGACACAAAGGCAGGATTGAGCTCCGGGATCAGCTGAGCCCTGCGCATGACAGGCCCTGTTTGCCACTGGTGGCCCCGGGGGCTCTCCCACCTGTGCTTTTCCTAAGGGAAAACCGGGAAGGCCCAGTGGGAGATGAACCAGAGGGCAAATACACCAGCAATGGCTCTGTGGGAGCTGTGCCAGGACTTCCCAGCACCAGGCCCCTCGGGTTCAGCACAGCACCAGGGCACTGCCCGCCTGCTTCCGTGGGCACCCACGGCAAGGGAATGCACAGGCCCTCAGCATAGGGAATGCCAGGCCCTCGGCACAGGGAATGCCAGGCCCTTGGCACAGGGAATTCCAGGCCCTTGGCACAGGGAATGCAAGGCCTTCGTCACAGAGAATTCCAGGCCCTCGGCACAGGGAATTCCAGGCCCTCAGCATAGGGAATGCTGGGCTCTTGGCACAGGGAATTCCAGGCCTTTGGCTCAGGGAATGCCAGGCCCTTGGTGCAGGGAATTCCAGGTCCTTGGCACAGGGAATGCCGGGCACTCAGCCGGGGGATGCACTGTCGAGGGAAAGGGGGGGTGGCAGTGGCTTTCCATGGCAGGGAAAGACATTCCTGGTGGGAATAGGGCTCGGGGAGAGGATGCCAGCCCCTTTGGCCTTCAGGGTCGGGGGCTCAGCCCATGCTGGGGGTCCTGGCCTCACACAAGCCCCCAGAAAGGGGAGGGAGGGCACAGATCGCACACGGGAGGGTTCAGGCCCCACACGGGGGCCTCGGGCCCCACTCAGGGTGTTACAGACCAAATACAGGGGGTTCGAGGCCCCTCACAGGGGTTACAGACCCCGCACAGGGGGTGCAGCCCCTCACCAGAGTCACAGACCCCACAGCGGGGGTGTCAAGGGGTCTCGCGGCCCTCAGCAGGGTCTCGGACCCCACACGGGGGTCCCGGGGGGGTCTCGGGGGGTCCCACGGAGGTCTCGGGAGGTCCCGGGGAGGTCCCCGGGCCCCCGCCCCGCCGCCAGGGGGCGCTCTGCCCCTCCCCTGCCCCCGCGCACGCGCGGGGCCGCCGCGGGGGTGGGCGGGGCCGAGGGCCGGTGCTGCGCCGCCATTGGCCCAGTCCCGGCGGCGGCCCGCGTGCGCCGGCCAAAGCGTTCCGGGCGGGAACGGGGGCGGCGGCGCGTTCCGGGCGGCGCGTTCCGTTCCTTCCCCCCCCGCCCGCCCGCCCGCCCGCCCCCCCCCCGCCCCGAGAGCGGCCTCGGCGGCGGCGGCGGCGGCGGCGGGAGGGCCCGGGGGCCGCTCCGCTGCGGGCCGGGCCGGCCATGGAGCCGCGCGCAGGTAACGGCGGGGCCGGCGCGGCGTCTGGAAAGTTTTGTCGGGGCCGGGCCTTGGGATGGCGGGGGGGGGGGGGCGGTGGCGGCGCCCGCGGGGTCACGGCGCGGCCTCGGGGGCCGGGCCCGGGGGGGCGGCTCGGGGTGCGGGGGTCGGTGCTGGAGTGCGGGGTCGGCCCCGGGGTTCGGGTCCTGGGGTTCGAGACCCGCCTCAGCCCGGGCACCCCCCACTCCAACCGCCCACGGCCGGGCCGGGGCCGCCCCCCGCCCGCTCCCGGTGCGGAGCCCCCCGGGGCTTCACCCCCCGCCGTTGGGGCTCCACCGGGGAGGGGGCGACCCCGAGTGCCCCCCCCGGGACCGGGCGGTGACGTTGCCCCAGGCCCGGGGATTTGGGGGCCAAATCATCGCTTGTTTTCCCGGTGCCGCCGGGATATCCAGGGCCGGGCCGGGGGGTCGCGCCCGGGGTGGGGGTCCCTTCCCGAGTGCTGGAGATCCGTGAGCGGCCGCCGGGGCCGCGCTCGGCTCCCTCGGCAGCGGGGCGCGAGCTCGGGGGACAAGCGCGGAGTTTGCCGGTCCCGATCCAGGAGGAATCCAGGGAGCTCCTCGCGCCGCTCCGCGTTGTCCCCGTGGGCGAGGAGCTGCTCGAGGGAAACTCTGCTCCGAAGCCCCGGGAGTCGCCCCCGGGAACTGCCGAGGGGTGAGACCCTTGTGTGAGTGTCCGAATCTCGCCGGGATAGAGGGCGGCAGGGGGATGGGAAGAGGAGCCGTGTGCCCGAATTACTTGAAATTCGGGACTCTGCTCTTCCCGGTGCCTTAATTTCGGTCGGTTCAGTTTTCTGCTGGAGCGTTTGCGGTAGATCTGTGCCGCTCGGTGCCGGGATGCGGCTCCGCTCTCGGGGGGGGGGAGCGCTGGGAGATGCTCCCGCCCTCAACAGGTGCCTCGGCTCCCACAGCACCGAGTTACACCCTAAACCCATCCCTGGAAAGGGCTGAAAAGTGGATTTTCCCGGCGGGAAGAGCCCTGGACCGAAAGGCTCTGGGGAGGAAACACGGAATGGGGGATAAGGCTGCCGTGGCCTCGATTGCGGAGGGGCCGTTTGGAGCATCCCCTGGGACAGCAGGAAGGACAGAGTGTGCCGGGCCTGGTGCTCCTGGAGATCCAGGGATTGGGCTGGAAATAGTTACGGCCTGGTTTAAGGAGAATTCGGCTCAAAGGGAATTTCCTCAGTGCAGCTGCCGAGAGGACCAAGTTTATTGTTGGTGCTTCAGAGTGGGTCCTTAGAGAATCCCTGTCATTCCTGGGAGCAGAGGAATTGATAACTAGGAGGGATGATGATGATGATGATGGGGCAGAGCCTGGATTTGGCGAAGCTGCTGCGTTTGTGTTGGAGACTTTTTCAGCTTTTATCCCTCTTGGAAGTGTCGTTCCAGTGGGTTCCT